CAAAGCTGGTTGCGTTTCGGACAAAGTTGACAAAAATAGCAGATACTTTAGGTAACGTAAATAAAACATGCACACAAAGAAGATAACAGTAATAGTTGTTGCAGATTGCACGTAACATGAAAGCTGCGTGCAATTTTGTAACCAAATGAAGCGATACAGCAAACGATAGCAGAGAATTATACGAAAAAGCCCGTACAAGTGATTGCTCGATACTGTGTGCAATTTTAAATCACCAGGACAAATTATTTAGTACCTGAGTGACTCTAGCCTGCATCGTCTGAAAACCATATATTTTGTTCGTGATTGTAGTACGTGCCACAGTTCTGTCTGCCACAAGGAGTGTTGGGTGGCAAGTTTGAAAAAATGTGTGTAGGGTATTTGTGCTTTTACGTAATTCAGATATAAAAGAAGATAGTCGCTTGAATTCATATATTTGCCTTTCTAAAATTTTGAGTTTTGTAAATAGCGGAGATGAGTGAGCGTCATATGGCTGTGTGGCAGTAACACGTAGAGCATTTTTCTGCATAATAATGAGCTTATACAGAACTCTCTTATAACATTTTTGCCCTACGAGATGACAATAGCACTGCAGGTGTGATTCGAAAGTAGTGTATATAAAACGGGTGTGATGGACTTGGAGAAAATGCATACACTTGCTTAGCACGCCTAAAGCTTTCGAAAGCTTAGTGCACAGGTATTCAGTGTAGTGATCCTAAAGGAAGAACTTGTTAAAATTAATCGCAGTGATTTAGCTACAGGATATACCTGAATGACAGTTAATGAAGTGTACGACGTCTCCTAGGTTACATGCTACGGGTTTCGGGGGAGATAAATTAGGTTTTCGTCCGCAATAGTGGATTAATAGCGAGTTCTTGAAAGACCAATTATGTAATTACTGCAGTATGCGTTTTCCACGCTGTGCTACGGCTTTAGCATCTGGTTCGACTATAAAGATGGTGCTGTCGTCTACACACATGATGTAATTCGGTGAGATTTCAGTGTTTACAAGATCAGTAATATAAATAATGAATGAGAGTGGCCTTAAAATACTGCCTAAGTATATGTCACCTTTAACGCACACCTGTATCTATTAATCACACCGGTATATATAGTATTTGTCCTGCATTGAAATGGGATCGGTGCTGTTGGTGTCTCACCTGCGCTGTCTAGTTGACAACCTATCATCGCAACCGTACTTGATGTTCGAGGTCTTCTTCACACTCCTAGAAGCAACTGAACAGCATGAAATTACGGTAGCAAACTTAAAGATCACGGGCTATGTAGCGGGTCGAATTATTCTAAACGTAGCGAAGGTATTCAGAGAGTCTCGTTTTAGATGCGAAACACCTCATGTCGGGGGCTGTATCCCTTGTCCCTCAGTCCTGGGGCGTCTACAACCCCATTGCGCGTGCACGTCACCTCTTCCTCTCTCTCCTACGCTCTCCCTCTCTCGCCTACCAGCGCCTACGCATCCAGCCTCTGCTAGTGAAGTTTCTTTATTGAAAAGAACTGACTACTTACGTTCCACAACCGTTCACTGGCCATTCCGCACATATTGTCACTGGATCTTGACGTTCAAGGTAGTAACGGTAGAAGATCATTTTGTGTGTTGTTGAACAATAAAAATTCACAGTGTGCACCTTAACTAAACGCTAACAGCGGGCCTCAGGCTGTGTCAATGGGCGCCTTCTGTCTTTCATTACCCATTAGCAGCGATTGACATATTCCAGTAAGAAACACCGGTTCATCGCTGCGTGCTTTGCACCTTTCCAGGTTACTGTCCTGCGCAATGCCGCGATGAGCACCATGCGTCAACGCCACTGGCAGTATCAGTGTTAGCGGCAGCACATGCTACAAGTAAAATGCACCATCTCCCTCTCAAACGAACCATCTTTTCGCTGCTTAGCATCCACACATAGTTCCTCAGCGGCAGATTGTGGAATTTTAGGGATTTATAGAAGTCTGTAGCGCACGCGTCGTATAGGCCTGCTTGAGCTCTTAAAAAAAACGCGAAAAATGTATTGATTATATACTTTGACGGCTGTCTCCCGCTGACCCTTACACACAGGTTGTATGTGTTATCGACTCATCTTTCCCACGTCCTAAAGAATTCGTCCGTGATATATGAGCTGTACGTAATGTTTAAATATGCAAAGTTCAAGCGCTCAATATCAAGAAAGTCGGACTGAAAAGCTGATGTCAATAAAGTTATAGTTCCATGGAATTCGAAGGTACGTGACTATTGAAAAATGATCAAACACTTTTTTGACAGAGCCCTCTGAATAATTGTACCTTACATGGAAGGAAGTTTAACAGAAAACAAGAAAGACTAAACACAAGATGTTGCATGGTACTAATTCAAGCGTGCCATTTATTAAAAAAAGTGAGCTACAATTTCATATCTTTAAAAACTGCGCAGATGATATTCCTGTCGTGTCCAGCCATGGTGGTCCAGTAGTAGCCAAGGTACTGGGCTGCTAACCCGCAGGTCGCGGGATGGCATCCCGGTTTTGGCGGCTGAATTTTTGATGTAGGCGAAACTGCTGTTGGCCCATGTGTTTAGATTTTTATGCACGTTAACGAAACACAGGTGGTCTAAATTTCCGGAGCCATTCACTACGACATCTCTCATAATCATACGGTGGTTTTGGGACATTAAACCCCACGTATAGACCAATGTTCCTGTCATGTCAGAGTTAAGGGTGGTTCATGCAAACCTCAGTTTCGCAATGTTGGCTGCATAATTAGTTCATGTGCTCAATAAGATGTGAAGGGCCTAGGTACGATTGCTTAGACATCGGTGGTTTTCCACTTGCTTTACATATTACAATAACGATTTTAAAGGGTACCGTAAGCGTGTTTCCACAGTTCTGGTACAGCCGTGATGGACCGCACAGGAGTGAAGCACTATAATACTCCCTCAAGCGCCGTATTCCGCATATACGGTAGTTCAGTGGCACGAGTTCGAAGCGAGAAGAATGGTGGTCTGATGCGCTGGCAGTCTTACATTAGCAGTGTTGATTGGTGCTCTATAAATGTACGGTAAATGCGGCAGGTAAGACCAAATCTCTAAGCGTCTATACTCGACCCAAGCGTAATACACTCAAGTGGTGCTGCCACAACAGTAACAATGTGACTTGCATGTACTTGCCTTCTTAAAGACTCTGCTCTCGCCACTTGCTCATTAGGAAAGTGAAGTCACGCTGTTCGTGACCCGCAAGGAAAACAAGGAAAGACACGCAAGTCGGATGTTTGTTATACGCAACAGTTGTACCTGTTTTCAGGGAGTGTCTCTTTGGTTACCTTCGGCGGGAGCAAAGGTTATGCTTTAAAAGCAGAGGCACCGTACGAGGCATGGTTTTCTCCTTCAACGGCCTTCATCACATACATATTTCGTATCGTTCTCTGATTAAGCGCCACGTGCCAGGCCCGTGCACCTGCCCCCAGTTTTTCAATAATATTTTTTGCTGTGCCATACAGATCACCAAAGAACAATGGACCACATTTGCCTGCCCAACCCCCACTTCAGATGATGGTGATGCTCCCAGCAGCTTCCCCAGAAAAAAAAATTCTGCCCATGCGCCTCTACACACGGGTTCCTAAATATCAGGAAAGGCGTTCGTGCTTGCAGCGTAAACAAATGATTCTTGAGAGCTCAGTTGCCAAAGGGAAGTCATTAAGAAAAGAAGTGTAAGCAGGCCGTATGACCACCATGGTTCTGGTACGAAATAACTCCTCGAAGGTAGCTAACTGCTTTCAGAGGGCAAGGAAAATTCGAGGAGTATTGAGTGTAGTGCTGCGTTAGCATTCACGCGTTGTCTTTATGTTTGCGTAATCTCAGTTTTTGCGAGACACACTTAGCGGCAGGCCGCTCGAAGCATTCTCTTGCCGTTTTTGGTGCTTTTCCTTGGGCCACCATTCTGACGGCGGGTGTTCGCGGTGATCAAATGAAACTCGCTGATGTTTGCATGGGCGCGCTCGAAGCGGTGTGATTCTCAATCGGGTAGACTACATATTACATCGTATAGAGCCTATAAATGTGTAAATCTTTCAGCGAACATTGCTCTCTTAAGTTATGTTTATCGACTTCGACGTAACTTGACCATCGTTTCTCCGGTGCTTCTCCGCAATCGTTAGCTTTGTTTTTAGGCCAATGAAGCAAATCCCCCATGCGTGACAGGCTGGGTCTGGTGTGTGAGTACAATGAAGGAAAAAATTTGGCATTATAATTTTCGTGTTCTACGTGCCAAAGCTTCATTATGAATATGAAAGCGCCCCGTAGTGCAGGGATCCGCATATTTAGGCAGTCTCATGTTCTTTAATATGCGGTGACCTCCCATATGGTAAACGGGCCTCTTGTATTCTACCACCATGGAAATTATACCATCGCGGTTGCATTCAGATATCAACCACAGGAGAACAATGGTAGCACATAAAAATTTGTAAAAGAGACGAAAGTCGAGGACACACATCCAACTATATCAAATCACAAGCGTATCATATTAATGTTTCCAATACGAAACCCATGGATTCGCGTTGAGAGACGCTGTACTAGGCGCGCCGGTTTAATATTGACCGAGTATATAATGCCTGAACGTTTTCAGAACTCTAATAGTAGCATAGCTTCGACTTCAAAGTTGGAATAGAATAGACCTGGCTTGAAAGCAAGGATCGAGAAAGCCAGCTGGCTTTGCACGACTAAGCCCAGCGAGCCGCAAAGGCCAGTGGAGCCCTGCACTGAGGACCCCACCCACTTGCCGAGAAATCATTTATGTAATAAAAAAAAGTTTCTCGTCTCTCTCCCTTTCCAACGACGCCAGAGGTGAGCACCATGCGATTGCATGCAACAAGCGCCATCAGCATTGAATGTGCATCGCCCTTTCCGAGTAGCTTGTGATTTAAAACACACTCGACTACACACTCATCCTCGTGTGAAGCTACACGGTGAAACCTCTACATCGTTTCTAGTAGCGCAAGGAAAGACGCGCGAACATACTCACTTGGTTCGTGACTATATGCCGGAGCTGTGTAGGCGTTACGGGCACGGTAGTGTCAAATTCTGGCTGTATCGTCCGGGGGAAAATCCTCTCTTCGTGGGCGAGCTGAACAGATGACAACGCGCGGACTGACGGTAGGCTCGTTTGGTGCCGCGACGCCACTGTGCTCTGCCCTTTTAGCATGCGCTCCTGAAAGACTCGGGGGTCGCACGCGCGAAACGCGTAAAAACGAGAGTGTGCCGCAATCGGCGTGTGCCGCTTTCACGAGCGTGCCACCGCGGTCGGCCTTGCGGCAATCTTCTCATCCGTGTAAGACGACCTCCTCGCCTCCGTCCCGTTCGCTGTCATGCATGCGAACGTTTTGCCTTTACCACCTGTGAGTGTACCCGACGTCGTGTGGGCAACAAAAAAAGCAACCCCTCCGGCGGCAACCTCCTTTCCAGGATAGGCACTCATGCGGATGAAGGATTTCTGTGGCACGTCGTATTATTGAATGTGCGCGTGGAACTCCGCCAAGGGTCGACTCTGATTGATATGTGGGGTTTAACGTCCCAAAACCACTATATGATTATGAGAGACGCAAGGGTCGACTCTGTCCGGGACTGCCTCGGAGGAGATACACGGGCACAGTGGTCTTGCCGGACGACAAGAAACTCGTTCCGTTGGAGACAGCTGCGACTGAAACCAAGGACTCAGCTTGGTGTATAGTGAGGCAATCGAACGACCAGGTGGAGTATATTGTGACAACACCCAACACCGTGGGGAGCATTCGCTGCGTCGACCAGAAAAAAGGTGACGGCGACTGCCACGACTATCATCATTACTACGACGATGACGACAACAACAACAACAACAACAACAACAACAACAACAACAACAACAGCGAGACATTTAATGTGCATTAGTGATAACTTAGTTCGCTTTAATAACACGGCAAGGTATGACACGTTAGAATCCACAACTCGAAATTCTTAAATCCGTTCCATATCTATAAGGGAGGAGAGATATATATTATAAAGACTTCGTTTATTCAGCCTACTTCGAGCTAAACTACATTGATGATGATGTTTCCAGATGACGAAGATGTACAGGTGACGATGATATGGATGGAAACATAGAGAATGAAGAGGATTCGCTTGTCGTGCTCATGCTAATTCTCTCACGCGGTGGAAGCGGTGGCCTGGTCACCTGAGAGTATTATGAAGTGCGTCACGTATAAGGCTTTTAACGAGCTACATTCGCTATCTCTGTCCCTTGGCAACGGGGATCAGGATTAGCGTTGAGAGGAGAAACGCGGTAATTGTCAGAGATGTCTGTTCGACAACTGTGTACGGCCAAATAAAGCCTCTGATGAATTTGTCACTTAAGTCGGGGACGCGCAGTGATAGAAGAACTTCGTCATCAGGGGAAAAAATTGGCAGATCCAAAGTACAGAGGGAATCGATGATATGCGAAGCACGCATGAGAAAGGTTGATATGTCACTTTAAAATCAGCACAACGTTACGAGGTGGAGGTAAATGATGCCGTATACATGACTTCCGTGTCATGATTATCATGTTTCGATGTGTCATTTACTTTCGTGATCTATTCACGCCACGTGATACCAAATTTAGTATATGTGGAGCTAGCGAAACGGTCGCGTGCACGCTATAAGGGTAGTACGTTGTCATGTTCTTACATGACAAGCCTGTCAGCATTATCATGTTTTCACTAGTCATATATTTCGTCATCCACTGACGTCACGTAACACCAAATTTGGTATATTTGGAGCTAGCAAAATGACCTCGAGCGCATCATGAAGGGCCAATATACTCCAATGTAGCACTGACGCGCGCGCACGCTGGGCACAGTGACGCTACGTTAGCAAAACGCGAGCACTATATAGCCTGATGCCAGGTGCAACCAGCGTCCGTCGACGCTGTCCGATGGCTGCCGGCACGAAATGCGACATGCTGCATTTCGCGCCGATACGCTACCCAGACAACACTGCGTCTCCTTTTTTTCGTGACGGAGGTACGCCAGACGCGCTGAAACGCGTATGCGTCAAAGCGACGCAGCGCAACGGGCGCCTGCGAGTATATGGCAGGACCGGCGCCTGACGTGGCAACGCCGGCGTGACGCGATGAAATGAACGCCGGCGAGCACGTCCATTGCGTCACGTCGAAATGTATCGGCGCCTGGACTGTGGCATGTAGTCATGTTCTCACATATCACGCATCTCACGATTATCATGTTTGTACCAGTCACATACCTTCATCGTCCATTGACGTCACGTAATACCAAATTTGGCGTATGTGAAGCTATCGAAACGGCCGCGAGGGCATCATGAGCGTAGCATGTAATCATGTTGTTACAGGACATGCATCTCATGTTCATCATGTTTGCACCAGTATCATACCTTCGTCATCCATTCACGTCCCGTAATACCAAATTTGGTATAAGTGAAGCTATCGAAACGGCCGCTAGCGCATAATGAGCGTGGCTTGTAGTCACGTTGTTACCTGACATGCCTGTCATGATTTTTATGTTAGGGTCTGTCGCTTGTGTTCGCAATGCGATCATGTCATACCATATAAGTTTTGCAACATGGTATGTGAACGAAACCACCGCAAAAGCCGCAAGACCACGAAATGTAAGTCACGACATTCACGACAAACATATTCTGATTTTCATCTTATGACTAGTCCAATATGTTCTTCATACAGTCATGGTATGCCATACCAAGTTTGGTATCGATACCATTATTGAAACGGCCAGGAGAGCTAAAAGTCGTAGGCGGCTAGATAGATAGATAGATAGATAGATAGATAGATAGATAGATAGATAGATAGATAGATAGATAGATAGATAGATAGATAGATAGATAGATTCGCTCAAAGTTGCTGAAGTTAGCTGTAAAATGCTTGGTATTTAAAAGTCGCAAAGCGGCAAGACAAGTCGTAGTGAGACTTTCGAGTTTCTCGAGAGAGGCCAGTGTTGACGCGAGGTAGGTAACGGCAGTGTTCCAGGCGAGATGAAAATTTTTCAGGGAAAGGAGCTGTCGAGCGTGCAGGGGCTGAAAGGAAAGAGACATCCAGAGTGAGACTTTGTGAGCGGCCATGGACGACAAGAAATGAAGAAAATCCGGTAGTGCGTTGAGCCGTCGTATCATAAGCGAATGTCACGAGGGGCCGGAATTCATCCAAGTTCGTGCATGTGATTGGGGGGAGTGTACATCGTGATCATGGCCGATGAAAGCGTTCTGTCAATTCATTGGTCTGCGGGTGGTAACTAAATGTTGTCTTGTGAACAGTGTTGGAGGCGTGCAAACATAGTCAACGAAAGATGAGAGAAATACTTTGAAATGATCGCTCAGGAGAACACGTAGGGCTCCATGGCGCAACAAGATGTTGCGGAAATCGGGGACTTCAGTGGCAGTCCCAGATTGAAGAGAAGCTGTTTCTGCACAGCGGGTAAGGTTGTCGATGGCCCTGACAATTGAACGATTCCAATTGATGTTTTAAAAAGAGCGCCAAGGCGGGACAAGGAGAATATCTCGTTAAGCCAGCCGGAGCAGTTTTGGGTCATTTTTTTCGTTGGCAATGGGCACAGGAGGTGACGTACTTAGCGATGGCTTTAGAGAGGCCAGGACAGGAGCAACAATATTTTTGTATTTTGTCGTAAGTTTTGTGATAGCGTAGATGGCTGGCGGTTGGATCATCGTGAAAAGCTTCCAGACCTTCACGTTGCAGAGAACGTGGGATGACGGGTACCCACCAGTTGCCATCCTCGTGGCAAACGTTGAGGTGTAAAGCACTACCATGAAGCTGAAATCATCCAAGTGGTCGACGGAGTCAGGCATTTTAAGGAGGAATAGAGCCGGTTATGTGGTTAACAATGGTGTGGCAGTAAAGGTCGAGACGTTCTTGTGAAACGAGGACGCATTGGGTGCGGTGAACTTAGCGCCGCTATTGGAGAGGCGTTTTCGTTTTGGAGTAGCGATGGTGAGTGGCCGGCCCTGGGCACAGGAGCACGATAGAGCATCTGCGTCTTGATGTTTCGCGCCAGATATATAGGTGACATTGAAATCATACTCCTGCAAGCAAAGCACCCCGCTACTGAAGCGACTCGATAAGCTTTTCAGCGATGAAAGCCCGCATAGCGCGTTATGGTTGGTAACAACGGTAAAGTGACAGCCGTGAAGATATGGTCGAAATCTTTGCGCTGGCCGAACAACAGCAAGGCACCCTTGCTCACTGATAGTGTAGTTTTTTTCTGCAGCGATAAGAACACGGCTTGCGTAAGCAACGACGCGTTCGCGTGAGTTGTTCTCCCGCTACAGAAGTACCGCACCTGGACTATGACTACTAGCATCGGTGTGAAGGATGCTGGGTGGGTGCGTTTGGGTCTAAGTAGCACAATACCGCATCCAACGTGAGGTTTTGCTTCATTGCCGTGAAAGCGCTTTTGAGCGTTTTGTTTTTTATAGGGAGCAGCGCACCCACAGGTTGACTCAAGCTTTCTAGAGAAACGCGTTATGAAAACTACCTGCTACAGTAAATATTTTTTTTTGGTACCACGACTTCAAGAAAAATTAAAGGAAAAGATGGAGCAATATATAATCAATGCTGATGGTAGATAAAGTAACCAGACGGTAAATACGCACTCCGTAAGCTGTTATATATGCAATGCAAAAGGTGTAAGGACAAAAAAAAATATAATGAAAACCACAAGAAGAGGGAGAGGGAAAGAGAAAACAAAGGAATAAAACAGGAAAGAACATGTGCACACGGATCAACAAATTAGGAAGAAAGTAAAAGTGTAACTTATATAACAAGACTAACAACCGTAAAGCAGTATTGAATTCTAGTTGATGCTCATCCTTATCGATTGCGGAAATCTTGATCTGCCTAGCACCTTAAGCCACTCATAACGCGCTGTGATTGAAGGTGTGCTGTCACTTGATGGCCTGCAACCACACCGGAAAGAATACGTCCGGGAAGCAAGTTATCGGCTTTTTTTGTGCTATCAAGAGCTTTTAAAGACGTGTCTGTTATAGAATTTTTTTCGACTTCCGATGCCTTTTAGTGGTAGCGTTCTTGGAAATGTTACCTTACTAGGTGCCATTTACCTGCACAGTTCACGAACGAATGAATTAACTACTGCGCGAGGGCTTGGTGGCATGGCTGTGAAGGAATTAACGGCGTCACTGACAGCGTAGA